CATCTGTTTGTGAATCTGTCTGTTTAGTTCAATGTCTTGTCTGGTTCCATGTGTCTGAGTTTCCTGTTTTATTGTGAAGGTCCGTGTCGTATGTGAGTGTGATCAGGTTACGTTTCCCCTGTCCCGTCAGCCCAGATTCCTCCCAGCTGTGTTGCCCTCCTGTCTCTCATCCCCTGATTACTGGTGTGTGTATTTAAGCCCTGTGTGTTTTCCTGCCTGTTGCCGGTTCGTCTGTGTTCCTCCGTGTCAGTCTGTGTTACTCGGTCTCCAGCTCGTCTCTCTGCCTCTCATCCCCTTTTGTATCATCTCAGGTTTGTCATTTAGCTTTTCCAGTTCAGGTCTTTAGTTTTGTCTTCCCTCTTGCCTGTTTGCCTTCTCACCCCTGTATAAATAAACTCACCGGCATCTTATCCACTGCCTGCATCTTGGGTCCTTCTTCTAACTCCACACGGCTCGCCTCGGCAGCTGTGACAAAAAGTGCGACTGCCTTCGTCAAGAGCAAGAGAGCAGCAGCACTATGGCCTATTCGTGATGTTCAGGTGAAAGTCAGCCCAAGCAACCAGACATTCGACTACACTTGTCCCATGCTTGGAATGATCCCGCAGCTTATCTAGGAGATGGCGATGCACCACTGCCTGCTCCCGGTGCACAGCTACCAGGTCAGCCAGCAACTGGGTTAGCACCTCCACTGGCTGAAAAGAAGTGACTGTAGCAAGGACCCAGGCCGGCAGGAAGTTCTTCCTGCGTGTGAAGGTCTTTTTTAATTTGTGCAAACAGCTTATAAGACAGTCCGCTGCATAATTTCTACAGCCCACTCTCTCTGCAGCTCAGTGATCCTCTCCCCTTAGGTCCAGGGATCCTACTGAAGTAGGGAGCCATGACCAGGAGATGGAGAACAGATATGTGGGGCAGCTTCACCGCTCCCCTGCAGCTGAGCCACAAACCATGCCACCTTATTAGACCACCACCCAATGTAAGGGTAATTGAACAGTACTACTTATTCCCTAAATCATTTTTTATGGTTCTGTAATGGTTAATCCACCATGTGCATCACTTTAATCAAACCAACAATTTAAAGCTAAAATATAATTATTTCTGTTATCAATGAACTTTCTAATGTATTATTTTTCAAGAAAGGAGAAAAAGCAGTAAAGTACATTATTGTTTTTTGATTAAGATGTCAAATTGAAAATATTTACTGGCGTTCCAAATTAAATTTTTAATGGTTTAATATGACACTAATAATAATTTACGACTTCAATCTTGACAGATTTCTAAAGTATTTGTGTTTTTCTTGTTTTTATTGCAGGTGCTCTAATACATTTATTAAGAACTGTAGGTTCCCAACAAATCAGCTCTGATTTGCTTTCATTTTCTCTAGCTGTCCTCATTTACAGTAGATCTCTACTTACCTCTTCGTGGTCTTCTTCTTTGACACCACCCATTTTGGTGAAGTCAAGTGGGCCTTCCCACTCTTGCTGAGTTTGGCCCTGAGATGCAATGGCTCCCACATGTTGAGAGGAAGAAGACAAAGAAGATGAAGGCTCTGGAGACTGTACTCCCTCCCGCTTGGTCTTCTTCATGCTAAGGTCCAAGGTGCCATTCTCATCCACCTCAATATCTGCCTCCTAAGTGAGGACACAGTGTGCAAATGTAGTGACTGCAAACTCAAAGAGCACGAGTTTCATACACTGTTCATTGTTAGGCTATTTTAAACCGTAGTTTTAAAAAAGAAGCTTGCGTCTAAATGAAATTCACTGTGCATCACCTTGGTGCAGGGCTCCCTGGTCTTGGTGCTGAGTGTCTCTGGTCTCTCCCAGCAGCGGGTGGACAGGTTGAGGATAGCTGTTGCTGCCATGTGGGCTGCCTCTGCATCTTGGCTATAGTCATAACCGCTGGAGGACAAGGTGCTCATAGAAAAGCTTCCTGACATGCTGTGACTGGGGGAGGATGCCTTGGGGAATAATTTAGCTGCGTACAAGTGGAACAAAATGATTTCCTTGAGACATGAAATTGGGAGGAGATTACTGCATATTCTACGACTATATGAGTGCAACATATGTACTAGTTCAGGTTTCCTTTTAGTTATAGCAGAACCTCATACAATTTTATACAGAGCTTGGCAAGTGAAAAAACAAACTTTTATGTATAAATTATTTAAAAAAGTAAAACATTTTATACAAAAACATACAGTTATTAATACAAATTTATAGACGTTACTGACAAAAATTGTTTTTTGGTATAATGTCATTTATTGATCAGAATAATTGTAGAATGACATATTCCATTTGGATATAACTCAGGTGGTTCTCTGCCCCTATAATCTCAGGACTGCGCCTTAAGTTGCTTCTGATACAGGTGTCACGCATGGCAGCTCTGCCTCTTTAGCATGTGAGTGTGAATGGAAAACATTATAAAAGCCCTTTGCAGAACCTAGCTATGTTTGAAAGGTGGTATAAAAAATGTGAATAAGACCATTTCACATAGAATGGTTAGCACTGTCACCTCGCAGCAAAAAGACTCCTGGTCTAAACCAGGAACCAAATGAGGCCTTCATATGTGGAGTTTGCACGTTTTCCCTGTGCCTGGCATCTTCCAGGTAGTTCGGCTTCCTCCCACAGTTCAACTGATAGGTTACCTTCTGCTTGATGGATGTGAGGAGGGTAAATGTATAACAGAATTAGAATTTTTCCCCATCTGTCTCTCTTCTCATGTTTGGTGTGTGTCTTCTTGTTTCTGTGTTTGGTTTCTTTTAATTGTTTTAATGTTTTACTTTGTAGCTTAGTTTTCTTTTGTATCATGTGTTACTTTTACTTATTCACTGTCACCTGTATCTCATTTCCCCTGCTGTTTGTCATTTCTCAGGCTCAGTGTATAACTAGTCCCGTGTACCTCTTTGTCAGAATATCGCTGATCCTTGTGTGTAACACTGCTTTTTGTTTTCCTGCTTTGGATTTAGTCTCTGTGCTTTCTTGGCTTTCAACTGTTTTTGTTCCTTCTGTATCTTTTGAATTTCTTGCATTGTGATGGCTGCAGTTACAGCCACACAGTGGTAATGTCCACCAAATATCAATGTTACAACAGAGGCTTACACATAACACTACATTTACATTTTTCTTCCTTTAGATATAGGATTTCATTTACAGGGGAATAAATAGTGATGGGACGTTCTGTATCGAGGCTTCGGAGCGTGTGTCGAGTAATGGAGGGGGCGTTTCCGCGAAGCGCATATCGAGGCTTGCTTCATTTATGGGAGGAGCTGAAAATGATGACGTCCGAAGCCTCGCTGCCCGGCTGTACCACGTGACTGGTTCATGAAGTGGTTCGAACTTTGCCGCGAGA